ACGGAGTAAGAGTAAGATTTACAGAAGTAAGAGAACGGGAAAAGGCCAGAGGCAAAAGGTAGACGGAATAATTTAAGGAAAGCTGGCAAGCAATAAGCCAAGCTGAGTCTGGGCATTTATAAGTAAAAAATAAGCCTCCATATATGATTTATTTGGGAGCTGGGTGGCGGGGCGGGGGGCGGGGGGAAGCAAAAACAAACAAACAACAGCGGCATGTGCAGGGCCCTGGTTCTGGAAAACAGATTCTGTTACTGGCAGGAGCAACACAGCTCTTGAGGACAAAAATGGAAGTTGAACATACAGATTTTAAGAACAGAGAATATTAGAGCATTATTAATAGCAGGTAGCCCAAACTACCTGCATTAGTTATGTTTGTGTTGCTGTGGTAAGACACCATGACCCAAGGAGACTTAAAGAAGATGGAGTTTATTTGGGGTTATAGTTTCAAAGGGAGGGTCTGGAGTGGAGGGGAAGGCCTGACAGCGGAAGAATGCTGAGCACTCTCATCTTCAGCCACAAACCAAACAAAGCAGATGGGAAGTGGGGCAAGGCTGTGTGAACTCCAACCCCCACCCCCCAGTGATGGGCTTCCTCCAGTAAGACTCCACCTCCCACAGGTTCTGTAACCTCCCAAGCAGTGCCATGAACTGGAGGACCAAGTATTCACATTTTCAGATATGTGGACTAGGGAGGGTGCTTGTATTCAAAACAGTACAATACCCAAATGTCCCCAAAACAGTTAATCTGCCCATACAGTAAAAAGTCATGGTACTAAATGGTGCTTAGGAAGCCAGGTTTGGTAGCACATGCAATCCCATCGTTACCATAATTCTTAAAATTTAAGTCATTTTCTCTGTGGAATGTTTTCAAGTTGACTGCAAAGGTCATCTCAAAGGCAGTGAAGGACAAGTGTGTTTACACAACTTCTCCACAGCAGGGTTTTAGAATCAGGCCACAGGCAACAGAATGAGGCCCCACCTCATATATGGACAGGCTCGCTGGCTCCATGAGAACTTCCAGACACATGTAAGATAGCAAAGCCCCGGAAAGCAGGTACAAGTGACAGTAAGTTCCAAGCCGGTGAAGATTGGTGCCAAAACTTGGGGAAACAGATAGTTTGACAAGCAAATCTGCCAGGCAGCGGTGGTGCACGCCTTTAATCCCAGCACTCAGGAGGCAGAGCCAGGTGGATCTCTGTGAGTTCGAGGCCAGCCTGGGCTACAGAGTGAGATCCAGGACAGGCACCAAAACTACACAGAGAAACCCTGTCTCGAAAAAAAAAACAAAGGGGGGAAAAATCACAAGCGAATCTTCCATGTCTCTGCCTTCTGCAGTCACATATCTGCATTTTTTCCTCAATAATTGAAGAATAATACAGTCAGTCTTTTTTCCTGGCTTTCATTCACTTTCGATTGCTTTTGTTGATGGTGCCGCTGCTCTTGAGTCAGACTCAGGGCCTCACAGGCTTTAAACCCCTGATCTGCCACCTGCACATTCAACAACACCCAGCTCTGTCATTTTTTTGAGACAAGATCTGCCTGTGCTGCAGAGGCTGGCTGGCTTTGAGCTTAGATCCCTTTCTGCCTCAGGCCTCTCAGATGCTAGAATTACAGATGCCTACCTACCACCATGCCCAGGTCAGACCCTCTACCACCAGTTTCTACAACTGTGTTAAGGCTGATGCCAGATTTACTATAAGACGCTTTCCAGAACTTGCACTCCTTGACAGTGCGTATTTGGTGCTTTTCCTTTCTTTCTCCAGAGCCTGGTCTATCACCAGTAATAGCGTGGCCTGCATGACTGTCCAGGAACTTGGGTTTCCTCTCTCCCTTCCCTTCTTGTTAAATAAGGTTTTTTTTTTATTTTTTTTCCAACAGTTTTCTGACTTCCCCTAAATTGTGTTAGTTTTGGAGAAGGGATTTTTTTTTTTTTTTTGAGTGTCTAGTGTGTACTGCATTGATCTCTTTGGCCTGCATGGACAGAAAAAGCACACTGGTAAAGGACAATACCTTTTGTCATTAATTTTCTTCTACTCAACAAATTTAGAATCACCTGTTGATTTCTTCTCTCAAATGTTTTTGTGTCGATTGTGGAATTACAAGCATTGCTAAACAATGCACAGAGCAGATTCCATCTGCTTTAAGCTTTTAGCAATGAAGTTTTTTTTTAACCAAGTGTTTTTTTTTGTTTTGTCTTTTCAATTTCAGTTATATATATATGGGTGTTGTGCCTGCTTTTATGTTTGTACTGTGTGTCATTAATAATCTGTGGAGGTCAGAAGGGGACATCAAGTCTCTTAGAACTGGAGTTAGAGATGGTTGTGAGCTGTCATGTGGGTTATGGGAATCAAACCTGGGCCCTCTGGAAGAGCAGCTAGTGCTGGTACCCGCTGGGCCTTCTGTCCAGCCCCTGAAGAGTGGTCTTTTTAATGCCATGTTACCTTTGACACAGCAAAGAGAAATCTGTTTGTTTGCTCATGTGTTTTAAACCTGCCATGTGTCTTGACAGATAGCAGCTTGTCTACCGGAAAAATGGTTTGAGAACTCTGCTATGAGGACATCAATTCCCCAGCTAGAAAACTTCATCCAGTTTTTATTGCAGTCTGCACATAAATTATCCACAAGTGAATTCAGGTAATGCTCATTTAATTTCTCACCTCCAAAGTATAGCTCAAGGATTCTGAATGCTTTCAGGAGTTTTAAGGAAGAATTGTACTTTTACTATAATTTTTAAAATCCGGGTCTGGGGATGTAACTAGTCTGGCAGAGTATCTGCCTAGCAGCACAAGGCCCTGGGTTCCATCCAGGCATTGTGGCACATGCCTGGAATCCTTCTGTAGTGCTGAGGATGTCTTGGTGCGACTACTCCACCCAGCTGGCAGCACAGCCCTGTCGAGACCCTGACGACAGGCTTGCTCTGTGTTCTGCTTTTTATTGCCATTCGCATTCAAATCTTCCAGGATACTCTGTATTTGGACCTGCAGTTATAATCATGAGGTGTGGGAAACTGGGGTCAGTCTATGAAATACATCATTGGGCTGTTTCATGCCTGTGCCAGTACTATAGTATGCTTATGCAAATAGATATGATACAGGTTGCTGCTGATAGGCTGTACTGTACATGTATATGTGTAGCAAATGCAAAAATGAATAATGTAGTCAGCGTCCAGGATTGTGTAATGTGCAGTTGTATGTGCTGTGCTTTTATGGAACTGTCAGCACATTTGTTCACGCCAGCAGCACCACAGCATGTAGTGTGTTTCAGTGTGGCATGATAGCTAGTGTCACTGTGCCTTAGGGATGGACCAGCAATTAATCCAGTGATGTAAAGGGGACATCGTCTCTGTATTCTCTGTGGCTTTAGATACTGACTTGGGTAGAACTTCTGGTTCAGGTACTGATGTAGGTCCTGAGTCACCACTGTGCCTCCCTTCACATGTGTTACAGAACTTTCTTTTTAGTGTATCTCTTTCATTCATTCTGTTTCATCTTACGTTTTGTCCTAAGGATCAAACTTCGGGCCCACTGCATGCTGAAGACTTTCTACCACTCAGACACCTCTAGCCTGGGATGCACTAAGGGGAAGTAAATGCTTTTTTGGTTTTGTTTTTCAGGAATGAAGTCAATGAAATAATTCTTATCCTGGTGAAGGTAAAAGCTTTGAATCAAGCTGAATCCCTCATAGAAAAGTATCACCTGGAACCCTCCACACACCCAGTTACAGGTGTTTGAGTGCACTATGGGAGGTGTTGAGCGTCATTGATAAAGTACTCAGTTCCTTGCTTGTACACAGCTGGTGCCCCCTCACTTCCTCTGTGCTCACCCTTAGTGTCCTGAAAGGCTGTCCTTCCTGTTGCTGTGTGACTGAGGATGTTACATCACAACAGCCATCACTCTGTCTCAGTCTGAGAAGGAACTGAAGAAATCCCATACACAGAAGCATGTCCAGAGTCAAGCCCATCTTCAGCTTTGGCATTCTTAAAATTTCTACTGTTGACAAATCAGCTAATGTGGAAATCTTGAGTGAATTGCTTAATTATGAAATGGTTAACTCATTTTTATAACAAATTGTCCTTCCAAAGTCTGCACTGGTTGATTATGTGAAATCAGTGAAAGAGAGTGCCAGTGAGTCTCCAGATTTGTAATTCATTGTGCATTTGTTAAGAAATCTTTTAAAAAATGATTTATTTTTCTATGTGTGATCCTGTTCTATGGGTGATTATATGTACACCACTTCCATGCAGAGACCAGCAAAAGCCAGAGGGCATCAAATCCCCTAGAACCAGAGTTCCAAGAGGTTGTGGGCCACCTGATGTAGATGCTAGGAACCAAACCCATATCCTCAGGAAGAGATCTTAGCCACTGATCATTCCTCCAGCCCCTGTTGAAGAATGAAGATGTATTGATTTGGGCCATTTGTAATTCTTTTTGAACCATCTTTTTCTAGAGGATTGTAATACTTTCATATTAAAAATAATAGTGATCTTTTGCCTGTCCTCTGGCAAATAGTTTATCAGAAAACTTACTATTTTTCTTTTAATTTTGTGTAAGATTTTTTTCATAATGAAGTCATCGCTTGGTAGCAAGTCAGGTTTTTTTTTTTTTTAATGTTGTGTATCATTCATAAGATTAAGGCCACTGCTATTTTACATACAGGAAGTGTACAGTATTTGATTAAGGAAGTCTGAGGTAAGGTAGTTAAGAAATTAGGAATTTTTCTCAAAATGATTTTATTAGTCTGTTAAGCAACTCAATGATGACCCCATGTATATATTTTGCAATTGCCCAAAAGACAGTTGAAAATGTTGGTTATTTTGTAATATTTGACTCTGTGGCCTATGTTTACATACTTGAAAGCCCTATTTTCAAGACTGCATGTACTGTGAACAGCTGACATGTTGTAATCGCTGTATCTGTGAAAGCCTATGGTTCTCTAGGTGAGGATGCTAAGACTGTTACAGACTGTACAGACAGAATCCCACATAGAAAGCTCAAACACTGCTGAATCCTCAGAGAATTCATGTTAATGTTGTCATTTTAGACAGCTGCTCATTACAAAAGCATGTGTGTATGTGTACAGAAAGTTTGTTTTTGTATGTAAATGGCAGAGACTTTATTACAGATGAATTTTCTATTTTTTTACTGTTAAAGTGCATTTTTGGAAGCTGTTCTCTGGCTCTGGATTTTTTAGATAGACATGGATGGATATGCACTCACTAGTCTACCCTGAGCAGACACCGCTGTGATGCTGGCTCTACATCATTGGAGAGTGCTTAGTCCTGCCTCCTAGTCCTGTGAAACGGCTCACTGACGACACAGCACAGCAACAGTCACCTGGTGACTCATCTCACAGACTCAGTGAGGCCATGTCAGGAAACTTTCATTCTTCATCTGTGCTGGTTTCCTTTGCTTTATTCTTTTTGGAGACTGGATTTCATTCTGAAGTGTAAGTGACATTGATCTTGGGAACCCTGCAAGCCCTAGGATTGCAGGCCTGTGTTACCACACCTGGCAAGAAAAACATTAAAAGGGCCTAAATGTGGAGAGATAGAAGACCATGTTCATGAATTAAAAACTAATTTGGGGTAGTTTTTATTCTCCTTACACTGACTCATAAATTTAATGTCAACACTCAGAGGTTCAGGAAATAATCATACAGGTGAACAACCTAGGGCCACGTTACTCAGTGGGGGATCCCCAGACCAGTATTGATAGAACTAGATATTTGAAAGACCCTTAGTTCCATCTCATTTTTCTGCCCTCCCACCCACAACACCCAAACAGAGACAAGTCACAGATCTAACTGGAAAGTCTAGAACAGAGACTCAGGAAAATCAGAAGAGGAGACCTGTGCCTCAGAGGCAGAGACCAGAGAAGCTCAGCAGAGTTCAGTTCCCAGCACCTATACCATGCGGCTCACAGCCACCTGGAACTCCAGCTCCAGGGGGTCTGATACACAGTCACACATGTATACACTTAAAGAAGGAACAGGTACTGGGTATCTAAACTCCAAATAATGGTTCCAGGGAGACAAGACGAGAAGAGAAAATCAGCAACAAATGCCAAGTTTCCCAGAACATGAGTCACTGCATGAAAGGCTCACCCCAAAATGTGGATACAAATATACCTGCACCAAGGCACAACACTGATTGCATTACTGTGAAGACTAAAAGTACACACTTTCAAGTCATACACAGGGAGCAGAAACCAGAATGACTGCGTTTCCCAGCATGGCACTAAAACACTATTACCAGTACAACTAACAAGGAAACTCAAGCAGAGTGATAGTACAGGTCAGACAGTCTCTCTCAAAAGTAAATGGGCCACATGAGTGAAAGATCTCAGGAGCATGAGCGGCATACCCTGTATGCCACGGAGGTTAATGCACACGCACATCTTCTCTGGAAGCTAGTAGTGTTCCATCTAAAGGAGTTAGCAAGGAAAATGAAAACAAGGACCGCACAAAGCACTCAACAGAAAACCAGCCCGAGACAAAGGCTCCAGGGGGCAGGTCGGGCACTGAGAGACTTACTGATGGAGGCACCAAGATCCGGACTGGCTCTTGGGATGTTACAGGTGGGACAGCCTCGACTCTGTGATGCATCCCAGCTTCCCAACCTGTTCTCAGCTGCATGGATTACCAAGTACACTCCTGTCCCCCACAGAGGGACTGTTTTGACCCCCAAAGGCTTGTTTCATGCAGAAAGTGAAAAAAATATGCTCTGACCACTTCCTGCTGGACAGCTCATCACCCAGTCCACACTGTGGGCTGCCAGGTGCCCTGGGGTGTCTTCCGTTGAGCAGAATCCACTCATAACTGAGGGGAAAATGAAACCGGATGACAGCTTAGACTGCCACAGTCTCCTTGAAGCTTTCACAGTAGAGCAGCACCCTTTTCTACCTGCTAATGAGCCTGTCAAAACAAGACCTTTAACACTGGAGGGCTGGAGAAACAGCTGGTGACTTAAGTACACACTGTTCTTCCAGAGGACCTGACTTCAGCTGTCAGCACCCATGTCAGGTGGGTCATAAGCAGCTGTGCTCCAGTCCAGAGAAGCTGATACCGTCTGGTCTCTGGACACACGTGTACATACATACAGAACTGGGTGCTGGGAACTGAACTCCAGTCCTCTGCAAGAGCAGCAAGTGCTCTTAACTACTGACCCAGCCCCTACTATTACACTTTAACTCACACACACACACTGCTGTGTATTTCTGATTATTTCCCAATTTACTCCCCTTGCTCACATCCCATTACATCTCATTTTGGTGATGCTGACTCCACTGGCTCCAGACAGGGAATGAATGTTGGGCGATTTCTCTTTTTAGAGCCATAAACTGGTGTGCAGACCTTATGCTAAGTACTGATAAGGTGAGGAGTACTATCTCATTTAATAGCTGTGCTCTCACAAAGCAAACTTAATGGCTGAGCTAATATATCTGCAATTAAAGGCATCCTCAGAACAAGGGCTTAAAAGAAAAAAATATTTTTATGTATGTATACGAGTTGGGGTCCACACAGGCTAGGGTGTGCATGTAGAAGGCCAAGGACAACTTTCAGGAGTCTGTTCTCTCCTTCCACCCCGGGTTCCAGAGTTGAATTTGTCAGGCCTGAGCAGCATGTTTACCTGCTGAGCCATCCCACCAGTCCCAAGATCAAGACTTCTTGGATGCTTCTATTTCTTCCCACAAGGCAGCTTCGATTTTTGAAGTGTCATATTCTCTCATCATATCAAACTCAAGCCACGGCTGGCTCCACTTCTGGGCTTCTTTCATTTGCTCTTCCGTTAAAGCAAGATCAAACCTGATCCCTTTAATGTTGAAGTACGGACGTTCCCAGCGTTTGGACCACGGCTTGGGCTTCATTTTAACTTGCAGCTAAGGAAGACAAGAACAGAATTGGGCTGGTGAGATGCACACAAAAGTTGCCCCGAGTTTTCTGCAGGGTGCTTCTTCAGACTTGCACTAAAACAAGTGTACATGGTAACATGGTCTACCTTGTTAACAGGCACTTCCTGACAGGCCTCATGTGGGACCGGCTTCATATTGACATCAAAGGTGCTGAACTCGGGGAGGGCATCTCGTAAATACAGCAGGCTGTCGTCCAGCCGCTTCTCTAACTTCACCACTTGGATCTCGTGGATTCGAGGATTGTACAGTTCAAAGCAAATCTCCACACCTAAACAGAGAGCATGCTTACCACCTCAGACCAGACTCCTACAAAACTTCACAGTACAGTAAAAGAAGCAGCTGGCAAGTGGGGCATGAGCAAACACATGGAATTTCTAAAGATGAAGACCACTAAAGCAAAGCAAACTAAACCCCATTTAAATTAAAAAGTGAAAAAAACTGAATGATATCCTATCAGAAGTCTATAAATATCCCATCTCTTCAACTATGACAACATACATTAGCCTGGGAAGAGGAAGCCTCCACTGAGGAACTGGCGATCAGAATGGCCTGTAGCTATATCTGTGGGGCACTGTCTTGACGGCCAGTTGATAGATGAGGGCCTAGTCCCCTATGGGAGGTACATCCCTGGGCAGGTGGTCCTAGGCTGTGTGAAGAGCTGGCTAACCATGAGCCTGTGAGCAAATGGCATTCTTCCATGGTTTCTGTCTCACTTCTACGTTCTGACTGGAACATGTAAGCGAAATAAACTCTCCTCTCCTAAGTTGCTGTTGGACAGAGTGTATTATGACAGCCAGGGACTAAACTAGTACACCAAGGAAGGGCCCTCTTGGCACAAACACAGTAACTTGGTGAGCAAGACAGTTTTGAATATGATCCCTCCAAAATTCACCTTGAAGGCCTGCCTCGTAGTAGCAGTTTCTCTGCAAACGTCAGGGATGAGAACCCTGAAGTGCACTTGTAAGTCTAAACACTCTCTGACTCGCCATTTCAGTCCTTCATCTTCTAGGACGTTACCACTGTTCCTCTCCGGTGGTGGTCATGGCACGTACTGCAGCGACTGTGTCATGAAGCAGAAGCTGCACCTTAGCAGCCAAGCTCCCAAGGATACCATCCTATCTGTCCCAGTGGACTTCGGGTTATTTGCTCAGAAAAGGACGACCCTGCTAAACTGAAGGCTCACACCTCTAATCCTCTAATCACAGTACTGAGGAGACAGAGACTGGAGGATTGCTTCAAGTGTGTGGTCAACAGGCTCTATATAGCAAGATCCTGTACACTCATGGCCTACATGGAAGACCCTGTCTCAAAAACACGACTAATAAAACAAATGGAATCTCCCTCACTGCTTTATACACTGTCTCTACTCTTGAAGACGCCACGTTTATTTAGGCAGAGTGTCACTATGGAGTCCAACCTGGTTTTGAACTAAAAAAATCCTCCTGCCTCAGCATATCCTTCTACTAGGCTAACAGGTATGTGCTGCCATGCCCAGCCCAGGAAGTCCAATCCCAATGGGTGTTGCCCATATAATAAAAGAAGCTTTCAAAAGAAAGTGGACCCTCCAACGGTACATTAACCAGTGAATACCAATCTCTATCCACTGCAAAGCACAGATTATCTCTTGGGGAAAACCCACACATTCTGGAAGCACAAGAGGAAACATACCTTGTCCTTCAATCGTGTTCCTAAGGGTGAAAGTAGCCCCAAGCCCTTTTCCAGATCGCTGGATACATATCCCCAGGAACTGGCTGGTTTTCCCACTGGCATATGGGTCAGCTGTGGTGACACGCAGTATGCTTCCTACAGAGTCAGAAGAGAAGCAAGCTCTGACATGAGATGCAGGAATGAACAAATACAGTTTAGAACTTAGTGTGTTTTAAATAACGAATGGCAAAACCCAAACACCTGGAGAATAATCTTTATGCAAAAAAAAAAAATCTTTATGCAATCCAACACCTACCGACAGACACCCTGCTTCTACTCACCAACATAGAACTCTGGAATGTCCAGCACCTTCCTCCTGTCCAGCATATCTTTTCTTTCTAGCTGATATTTCAGAGGGTTTGTTCTTCCCCTTGGAGGAATGAATTCAGGACTCAGGAACCTATAAAGAAAGAAATTTTAAAAATTGGGGCGGGGTGGGGTGGGAAAAAAAAAATTAAAAGGTAATTTGGGCCAATATAAGGGGGGGAAAGCTGGCTTACAAAGAAATGAAAGGGTATAATGTTGATGTATATCATTCTTTAAATAAGGAATATCATTTCTAAACTACTCTTTCCAGAACCACTGTTAATGCTCATGAGAACTGTCAGCTCTCCTGAACACTCACCAGGCATTTTGTTTAAAAGCTTATAAAACATCTAAGTGGCACTTACAGTCTGGACCTTAACTGTCCAAGAAGGCACATATACTGAGAGGTTAGCTGTCAGCCTGTGCAGCTCCTAGGGGTTAGGAAGCTTTAAGAACTGCAGCCCAGTACAGGAAACATGTCACTGGGCCTGTACCTTGAAGGCAAGACTGAGACCCGGACCCTTTCTGTTTCTTCGTTTGCTTTACCTAGATGGTACTTCCCACCATGCCATACCGTGTAACTACAGGGTCAAAGTGACAGGACCAGGACCAAGCAAAGTTAACTAAAACTGTCGGAACCCTGAGCCAAAGTAATAGCTCCCTTTCAGCTGATTATCTCAGTAGCATAAATTAATCTTCAGAAAAATGAGGTGGTTTTGCTGTCATCTTTTTATTAAAAACAACAACAGGGTTGGGCGGCAGTGGCGCACGCCTTTAATCCCAGCACTCTGGAGGCAGAGCCAGGTGGGTCTCTGTGAGTTCGAGGCCAGCCTGGTCTAAAGAGCGAGATCCAGGACAGGCACCAAAACTACAAAGAGAAACCCTGTCTCGAGAAAAAAAAAAACTGAAGCTTAAGGATGATGAACCACTGACACATTACTATTGCTATTAGTTATAATTTTGTGACAGTTTAAACACTGCGTGCCTCTCAGTCTGTAGAGCCTATGACCGACCACAGGTCTCCCACTGAGCTATCAATACAGAGAAAATATATAAAAACACCTATTGCAAACTGACTTTAAAAGAAACCTTCCACCAAGTGTGGTGGTGCCTACCTATGATCCTAATACTCAGTAGGCAGTAGCAGGCAGATCTCAGTAAGCTCAAGGCGGGCCTGGACTACACAGTGAGACACACACCCATATATATATATATATATAGATAGATAGATAGATAGATAGATAGATAGATAGATAGATAGATCTAGATCTAGATCTATATATATAAAATTATTGTGTACTGGGGGTGAGGTGCACACCATTGCATCCATGTAGGGGTCTGAAGACAGATTTTGGAGTAGAGTCTTTCCTTCCACTGTGGGTTCTAGGGGTGGACCTGAGTAGACAGGCTTGCACTAGAGACTCCTTTACCACTGCTGGTCCATACTGTTAGCTTTTGAAGATTTACCTTTTTTGTGTGTGTATGAGTGTTTGCCTGCATGTATATATGTGCATCACATGCATGGCCTGGTTCCCTCAAAGACCAAAAAGAGGGTGATGGATCCACTAGAGCTGGAATTGCAGATGGTTGTGAGCCACTCTGAGGGCCCTTTTGAAGAGCATCAAGTGTTCTTAACGGCTAACCATCTCTCCAGCTTTTAAAAGAATATTTTCCTGCCGGGCGGAGCCAGGCGGATCTCTGTGAGTTCGAGGCCAGCCTGGATTACCAAGTGAGTTCCAGGAAAAGGCGCAAAGCTACACAGAGAAACCCTGTCTCGAAAAACAAAAAAACAAAAAAACAAAAAAAAAAAGATATTATTTTCCCACCTCAATGAGGTAAAGTGGTCAAAGGAAAATATTTTTTTCTAAATCATTAACTTTCCTAAGTCCAAGCCGATTTCAATTTAGAACTACAGGATATGTGAAATATTTAAGCCCAGAGACAATCCACTCGGCCAGCTACACTCCTTCTAAAGAGCCTATAATCGCACCAAGTTTTTCCCATGAAAACTCAGGTTGTGGGCGTTCCGAAACAGGCTCAAGCTATGTAAACCTAAGTGGCTTAGAAACCACCGCGGTGAGCGCTGGTCAACAGACTACCCAGGAGGAAGAGTTTGGGGAGGTCAGATCAACTCAAGCACGCTCCCAGGTGCAACTAAGGAGAATAGTTAAGAACAAATAAAACTGAGGAATGGGCGTCCAAGCCTGCGTCCTTTGGGATCTAGAGAGGAGCAGACGCAGAATTCGAGTATGTGCAGGCCAGCTACAAGGGAAGCAGGTATCCAAGCGCGCGAACACCCAAGCAGCTCCAGGAGCTGCAGGCGCCCGAGCATGCGCACACCCACGAGGCCTTGGCCGCCTCACCTTCTCTGTTTGTCCGGGGCTCGGTGCCGGTCCACCATGACAGGTTTCGGAGGTGGCTTAAACCCACCGGGCTGGGAAGGCCCGGTGCTCTGAAGCCTGCTCGAGCCCATGCGGACACAGCAGGCATCAGACGCGAGTGCAGCGAGCCGCGGCCTGGCCATTCGGAAGCTCCGGGCCAGGTTCAGGGACACCCTACAGCCTTCTGCCATGGAGGCCGCCATGTCTACACACGCAGTGCAGGACTACAGCTCCCAGAAGTCAGTGCGACGGGGTGTGGTCGGACGGTGGCTCCTATGGGACCAAACCCGCTTCCCTGTGGATTCCCACTAGTTTGAAGGAACTATATTGGCAAAGTATATAATTTCCTCTTCTCCATCATTTGCAAAGTTACACTCCTCCAAACGGCAGGCAAACTTGTATTTTCCACTAAGTACTGTGACCTCATATGCACTGTGAGTGTGGAATGTGTGTGTATGTGTATGTCCTGAATGTGAATGTGATTGCAGATGCCCATGGAGGCCAGGTGGTTCCCTGGAGCACGAGTTACAGCCAGTAACAAGGTACCCCAAATGGGTGCTGAGAATCGAACCTGAGTCCTCTAAAATATCAGTAAGTGTTCCTAACTGCCGGACCACCTCTCTAGCCTCCTCATTTCCACTTTTTATTTGCTTGTGCCTACATGAAAAAAAATACAAATGTCACCCCAAAGGCGGTAAGAGATAGTTTATTCTGGAGTCAAGTATGAGTGACCATGGCTCAGGAACACAGATTTAAGTCACCGTAAATCCATGTTCTAATGGGGTAGCAACTTCATGAAGTTTTCATAATATCAGAGCAAAGAAAGCCATAAAACACTCCTTAAATACATTGGTGAGCTCATCAATTTAGGTGTGCTATGACGAAGTGGAAAAGTCTCCACTATAGCCCTCAGATGCTAACTGTTGGCGTTTTTAGCCTTCGTGTTGATAGAATTGAGGGGTTTCCAAATGAATTTACCTAATAGCCACAAGGCTGTTGATTCACAAACAAGTTGGTAATAAATGACCATTTGAGGGACTAACAGCCCAAGATAGTTTGGCTCTGGGTCTGCAACAGCCTGATGTCTCCAGTTCTAATCAGTTCATCATGTGGTGGTATTGTGTTCCCCAAAATATTGTGCACGCTAATAAACTTATCTGGGGTCAGAGAACAGGACAGCCACAATATTAAACATAGAAGATAGGCAGTGGTAGCACACGCCTTTAATTCTAGCATTCCAGAGGCAGAAATTCCTCTGGATCTCTGTGAGTTCAAGGCCACATTGGAAACAGCCAGGCATGGTGACTCACGCCTTTAATCCCAGAAAGTGAGCCTTTAATCTCAGGGAGTGATGGCAGAAAGCAGAAAGGTATATAAGGTGTGAGGATCAGAAACTAGAAGCTTTTAGCTGGTTAAGCTTTCAGGCATTTGAGTAGCAGTTCAGCTGAGAGCCATTTGGATGAGAACTCAGAAGCTTCCAGTCTGAGGAAACAGGATCAGCTGAGGAACTGGTGAGGTGAGGTAGCTGTGGCTTGTTCTGCTTCTCTGATCTTCCAGCGTTCACCCCAATAACTGGCCCCGGGTTTGATTTTATTAATAAGACTCTTTAAGATTCCTGCTACACATCAGACTTGTAGAATATTGTTTGGAAATTTTGGTTCCTCTCTTGTATAATTATTCTATTAGTATTTAGTTCCTCTATTACGCATTCCATGGAGAAGAATGGGTATCTTCTTTAGCTTGTATTCTGGCTTACTACCCAGCATCACCTGGCTCTCGCTGACTCCAAACAGAATAATACGTTCTGGCCATGTCAACTTGACACAAGCTAGAGTCATCTGAGAGGAAGGAACCTCGATTGAGAAAATGCCTATATAAGATGGGTCTGTAGGGAAGCCTGTTGGGCATTTTCTTAAGTAGTGATTCATGGGGGGAGGACCCAGCCCATTGTGGGTAGTGTCTCCCTGGGCACCATACACACATACACACACACACACACACACACACACACACACACACACACACACACACACACACATATACACCGTTAAAAATAAAATAAAGCCCCAACATTTTAAATGCCCAAAGTCTCTTCACTGTGAGCTCATATAAAAGGTCCTCCGTGAGCAGGGCTCTCTCCACCTCCACAGCCCATCTCTCCATTCTCTCTGGCACCCCCACATTGCAGCTACATCAGCCTGCAGGGTCTCCATGTAACTTCCCTGAGTTACCAGTCCACCACAGTCTGGTGACAAGGGTAGGAAGAACGGCTTCCATCCTTGCATCTCCATTTTATGTAATAACTGTATTCTGGTTTTACAATGGAAAAGCAATCCTCTGAGTTTTAAAAACATGAACACACAGACTAGGTATTCTTTTTTCCTTTTTACAGTTTTCTACTAAAAACAAAAAGTAGCGTTGGTCTCTATTAGACTAGTCTCTATGATGACAGAAAATGGCGAGGCTGACTCACCACCCCCCTGAAGAAAAAGAAAGAAAAAAAACACAGAGCAATATGCCTATGATGGCTAGGAGATGAGATAATATGCTGTATAAAAATTTTCATCCAAATGCCTGGAAGGGAAAGATTGTTTCACTTCGAAAGGCTGCAGCCTCTGAAAGCTTGAGATCAACAGCAGTGGTGGGCTGGCCTCTGTTGGAAGTAGCACCACACAGCAAGGCTGAGCCCTGGAAATCCAGTCCAGCTTTTTATTTATTTATTTATTTATTTATTTATTTATTTGGTTTTTCGAGACAGGGTTTCTCTGTGTAGCTTTGCGCCTTTCCTGGAACTCACTTGGTAGCCCAGGCTGGCCTCAAACTCACAGAGATCCGCCTGGCTCTGCCTCCCGAGTGCTGGGATTAAAGGCGTGTGCCACCACCTCCCGGCTCAGTCCAGCTTTTCAAATAGTCCCTTTAGTGGATGTGTTTGGTACACGTGTGTGTGTGTGTGTGTGTGTATGTGTGTGTGTGTGTGTGTGTGTTGTTGTTGTTGTTGTTGTTCTTTATTTGTTTGGTTGTTTGTTAAGACAGGGTCTCTCTGAGCAGCAGCGACTGTCCTAGAACTCATTGTGTAGACCAAGGTTGGCCTCAGATTCACAGAGATTCATCTGCCTCCCAAGTGCTGGGATTAAAAGTGTGTTCACCACCACCACCAGCTATGTGTTTGTCTTTCTATAACTGACTGTCTCATAGCCTTGGTTTCTGGAGAGAAACTTAAGACCTTAAAAACTGATAATGCCATGCAGAATTTTTAACCTAGTATTTTACCATTTTTATTTTAGGGTATAAATGGCATGGGTACATGAGTGAACATCATGGGTCAGAATCAGGTGTTTTCCTCAATCAATTCCCACCTTATCTGTTGAGACAGGCTCCTCACTGGACCTAGAACTCGCTGGGTCGGTCAGGTTGGCTGGTCAGAGAGAGCTCCAGGGCTCAGCCTGTTTCTGCTCCCCAGGTTCTGGGGTTACAGATGTGCACGGTTTTTTACCCTGGGTCTGGGGACCCAAACTCAGATGCTCACACGGCACACACTGCGCCATCTCCCAAGTCCTCTGATCCGCCTTCTCAGGCCCTTGTATTTTTGCTTGTTTGTGGGTTTTTTGTTGTTGTTTGTTTTTCGAGACAGGGTCTCATGTAGCTCAGGCTAGCCTCAAACTCACTATATATCCCAAGTTGGCCTTGGACTCTTTAAAACATTTTTTAAACATTTATTTCCTTATTGTATATGTGTGCCTGTCTGTGATCCCATAGCACAGCTGTGGGATCAGAGGACAACTTTAGGAGTGAGTTCCCTCCTTCTACTGAGAGAATCCTAGTGATCAAATTCAGGCCATCAGGCTTGGTGGCCGGTGCCTTGACCCACTGGGCCATCTCCCTGGTCCTGGCCTGAATGCTGGATCCTCGTGCCTCTACCTCCCAACTACTATTCTTAATAATCTGGATAGATTACCCAGAAATGATGAAGAAAAAAAAAAACAAAAACTAGGTGTGGTGGGGACTGGGGAGAGAGCACAGTCAGTAAACCCAAATGGGAAAGCCTGAGTTTGGATTGTCCCCTTCCCCAAACTCTTCCGTTGGGGAGGTGGAGACAGGAGGATCCCTAGGCCAGCTAGTAGTCTAATCAGTGAGCTCCGTGTCAATGAGCAACCCTGTCTCAGAACAGTAGGGAAGAACACACTGTTCATGTAAGAAATGTCCTCAGAAAGGTTCGTGAGTTAAAATCTTGGTCCCTACCTGGAGGTACTATTGAGAAGTGACTCCATCATGAAAGGAGCCAAACGGACTGTTAAGATGCCAGACCTTGTTGAAAGAAATAGTGCACTTGAGTGCCTGTGAGGAGTTCTGCTCTGCCAGGCCCCTTCCTTTCACTCACTCTTTGCTTCCTGGCTTCCATCCTGCCTGGCTCACACGCCCCAGCTGCCTCACCTCCGGTCCAAATCAATGGGGTGTGCACCTTGCAAACTGAAAGCTCCTCCAAAAAGGAGCCAAAATAAATGAACAAAACAAAACTCCTCTTTTAAGTCATTTAGTCACAGAAAGGAAAAGTACGCCTATACAGAGATTCACAGGGACCTGGGGAGATGGCTCACACCGTAAAACACTTAAACAGGAGGGTCCAGGGTTAATCTCCAGCACCCACCTAAATAAACACCTGGCATGATATCACCCTCCACACACATGTTCAAAAACAAAAAATAAAAATACTCAAAGCATCTTTCCCAGAGAAATCGTGTGGTCCATTTGTTGAACGTTTCAACAGATCAGCAGGTAAGTACCATGTGCCCGCAATGGTGGTCAAGGAGGATTTCTGGAAAGTGATTTACTCTCAAGAAGTCACTGTAGCATGGAAAGGCTGTGGGATGATAAGAGCACGTGGGAATGCGTTTTCCCCCAAGCAGCACAACCAAGAAAGCTTCCTCAAGAAAGGAGACCTGAAGTGAACCTCAAAGACATGCTTAATGAGGCCAGTCAAAAGCGATTAGGATTAATCAGAAGAGATCAGAGAATGCTAATCCCCTGTCATGGCTAATCTTGATTGTCAACTTGATAGGAGCTAGAATCCCCAAAGAGACAAGCCTGAGGGCATGTCTGTGAGGGATTATCTAGATTAGATTAATTGAGGTGCTATTGAGGTGCCGTATTAGTCCAGATCCTATATGAGAACTAAACCAATATAATGAATATATGTGTATGCATTTGTATACATTTATATA